ATCCAATCTCTATTCGACATACATGATCAATCGATGATAACTAGAACCTATTACTTATTACATATCAAATTAATTTATCAAATTACAAACCTTCACATAACAAGCAAAACATATCACTTTAATAACTCAACAAACTAAACATACCACTTTAACAATTTAAAATTCCATAAACATACCACTAATCATATGTATTAAACAATTAAAAAGTTAGGGTTTTAACTCAACAAACTAAGCCTACCACTTCAACAAACTAAACCCTCACCTTAACAAATTGAAAACTTTAACAATTTCAACAACCAAACAAAACTACTTAAACCCTAATTCAGATAATAGGTATTATTCCAACACATTAAAGAAACCCAACCTAAAACATTAAAAAATTAAAGCCTTACTATTTGGAATTTCAAAAAATAAAAAAGTTAGGGTTTTACCTCAAATTTTCGGGATAAGGAAGAAATAATAAAAAAAAATCGAGATAGGAAGTGGTCCGGCTTCAATGGCAGCGATGCAGGTGGTTTCCAAGGTGGGGACGCCAGCAAAGCTAGCAATAGGTGGTGTTGTGGTATCGTTTTTTGCTGCCGAATATAGAACACATGAGAGAAAGTGTTGTTTAGTATTTTACCTTTCTCTTTTGTTTGCTCTTTGTAAAAAACCCCCAAGTCGCACTTTTTCCTTTTTTTTGTTTTTTTTTTTGTTTTTTCAACTTCCACTATGTATATATCTATTATAATAAATGAAAGTTCTTTTGCCACATATCCTCTTCTCATTCATTTGGACACATGACATTTTTTAGAATTTTTAAATTTTCTATTTTCCATTTGTCACTCATTTTATTAAATTAAAATTTTACATTTAATGTGTAAGGTAATATATATGTAAAGTATTTATTAGAAAAAGTTTATATATGTAATGTAACCAATACATTAAAATCTCATTAATTTTAATAATTCAATTTTTTTTTTTTTTATAAATTCAAACTTTTCAAATTGTTAAAATTTTATATTTATTTTTTAATTAAACCCATGTAATACATGGGTCTCACATAGGGATGAGCAAAAGGACCGAACCGGCTGGAACCGGACCGGAACCGGGAACCGGCTTCGGCCAAAATCAAGAACCGAACCGGCCCGACGGTTCTATCGGTTCCGATTCTACCAGTTCCCGGTTCCTACTGGTTCTTGTCGTGTCTTCAAATGTTGGAAACGATCCTTGAAAAATAGCATAATACGGTTCCGGTTTTTTGCCGGTTCTACCGGTTCCGGTTATATCGGTTCCGGTTCCTACCGGTTCCCGGTTCCAAAAATCCACAAAAATAACGTCCCGGTCCCGGCCCGACCGGTTCCATTGGGTTCCGGTTTCGGTGCTGGTTCCGGTTCCCTGGTCCATTTGCTCATCCCTAGTCTCACACCTAGTAAACATATTAAATACCATATTTATTTTATTAGATACGAGCATTTAATCCCTTTTGATTTAAAAGAAAACGATGCATTCTTCAATATCATAAATATAATATTCATTAAGTTATTTTTGAATTCAATAATAAGTATCCGTTGTTTATTGTTTTGCTTTTTTATTTTTCTAATGCCTAGGTTGAATTTTGATAGTTTTAAAATTAGATATTTAAAATGATTTAGAACTAGACAATATATAGTAAATCGATAGAAATATGGAACAACAAAACAACGTTTAAGAATCGAAATTAAAAAAATGATTTTATTATGTGGGTAATTTGTGGATAATCATCCATGTTTAAGGATCAAAAATGAAAAAAACGATTTTGATATGTGGGTAATCTGTGGATTATCACCCACAGAAAAAACAACGTTAAAGGATCAAAAATAGAAAAACGATTTTGTTTTGTGGTTAATTCATGGCAAATCACCCACGAATTATCCATTGATCAGAATCCTTTTTTTCAAATTTTGACCATTAAATGTTATTCTATTCATCTAATCTTTTACAAAACTTAATTAATTAATATATTGACTTGTTTGTTCAACTTATTTCACAAATATACTTAAAGATACAAAAATACTTTTACATACCAGATAATTCACTATACTCCTTTAATTCATCAACTTAGTAAACTCATACATGCATGTGTATGTATATGTATCTACTAAATTGATAAAAAAAAAAAACACAATTATATATTAAGTTATGTTAAGCATGAAACCAAAAAACAATGTTTAAGGGTCATAAAATGACAAAACTATTTTGATATGTGGGTAATATGTGGATAATCACCTACAGACTTCCCACAATAATGAATTTTTTTTTGACCATTTAACGTTGTTATTTTTGTTTTATCATTTATAATGTATAATAAATCGATGTATTTTTTTTTGTTTTATCCCCATATTACAAACATACATGCATACATACTTAATATATAAATGTATCTTTTGTTTTATTAACTTATTATTTATATACATATGTATATTTATGGGTATAATAAGTTGATCAAGCAAAGAAATGCATTGATTTAGTAAATTGATATAAATATGGAACGAAAAAAAAAAAAAAAAACGTTGAAGGATCGAAATTGGAAAAACGATTTTGTTTTGTGGGTAATCCGTGATAAATCACCCACGGATAAGAATTCTTTTTTCAATTTTGACCATTAAATGTTGTTCTATTCGTCTAATATTTTACAAAACTTAATAAATTAATGTATTGACTTGTTTGTTTGACTTATTTTACAAATGCACTTAAACATACAAAAATACTTTTATACATGTATACATAACAGATAATTCAGTATACTCCTTTAATGCATCAACTTAGTAAACTCATATATGCATGTGAATGTAACATATCTACTAAATTGATAAAACAAAGAAGTACAATGATTTATTAAGTTATGTTAAGCATGGAACGAAAAAAAAACTTTAAGGGTCAAAAAATAAAAAAACGATTTTGATTTGTGGGTAATAAATTTGTGGGTAACAAATTTCCCACAACAATGAAGATTTTTCCATTTTTGAGTTGTCTTTGTTTTTATCCTTTATAATGTATAATAAATTGATGTATTTCTTTGTTTTATCACCATATTATAAACATACATGCATACATGCTTAATACATAAATGTATCTTTTGTTTTATCAACTTATTATTCACATACATATGTATGAATATGGGTATAAGAAGTTGATGAAACAAATAAATGCTTGATTTAGTAAATTGATATAAATATGAAACGAAAAAACAACGTTGAAGAATCGAAAATGGAAAAACGATTTTGTTTTGTGGGTAATCTGTGACAAATCACCCACGGACCATAATCTTTTTTTTTTAATTTTTGATCATTAAATGTTGTTATATTTGTCCAATCTTTTAGAGAACATAATCAATTGATATATTGACTTGTTTGTTCAACTTATTTTATAAAATAAACTTAAACATCATAAATACTTTTATACATGCATACATACTTAATATTTCAGTATACTCCATTTTTTCATCAACTTAGTAAACCCAAACATTCATGTTATGATATGTATCTAATAAATTGAAGAAAAAAAAATACAATAATTTATTAAGTTATGTTAAGCATGAAATGAAAAATACAACATCTGAGGATCGAAAACAAAAAATGATTATGGTATGTGGGTAATATGGATAATAACCCACATCTTTCCGTCTTTCCCACAACAATAAATAATTTTTCCATTTTTGACCCATTTAACGTTATTGTCTTTGTTTTATCATTTATAATGTTTAATAGATCAATGTATTTCTTTTTTGTTTTATCAACTTATTATACACATATATGCATACATACTTTATAAGCTAATGTATCATTTAGTTTTCAACTTATTATTATTATTATTTATATATATATATATATATATATATATATATATATATATATATATATATATATGAGTATAATAAGTTGATGAAACAAAAAAATACACTGATTTAGTAAAACGATAGAAATATGGAACTAAAAACAACGTTTTAGGGATGAAAATGAAAAAAAACAATTTATTTATGTGGGTAATTTGTGAAAGATCACTCACACTTTACCCACAGACCAGAATGAAAATGAAAAAAAACAATTTATTTATGTGGGTAATTTGTGAAAGATCACTCACACTTTACCCACAGACTAGAAGTGTTTCTTCATTTTTCAAAATCTATGGATAAGCCGAAAGCCGTGTATGATGATGATATTGTTTCCCACGAATTTTCCATAAATTTCTTTCTGTGGTAATCTGTGTATAATCCGTGAGAAATACTTTTTAAATTAGGGTTTTTTAAATCGTGGAAAATCTGTGGCACATGTTTGGGTTATTACCCACGGATTTTATCCGTTGGTAATTTTCGTGGGTGAAGGTTTATTGTGTAGTAGTGTAAATAAATAAATCTAAGACTACTATATTATATCTTACCAGATTACCAGATAAGACTTTTTCCCATTTCGTGCAGAATAATACGTCCGATTATTACATAAACATCAATATTTTCAAAATCATAAATTAAAAAAGATAAAAGATGGCAATCATTTTAAAAGATATATACGATTAATTGATTACAGATAACAAACGTCCAAAGATAGAAGATATAACCCATATATCATCAATTAATTTTACTAGCCCAACAGACGCTGGCCGGTCCAAGTCTTGACAACTAAAACAGATGGTGAAAAATGTTGAAATATGAAAATAAACTGAATTTAGAATATGATTTAAAATCCAGTTTAGTTCAAACTAAAAATTAATTTGTAATCTTTTTAATCGAGAACCAAGTTCAATACGACAAGCAAAAAACGTTTTTCCCAACTTTTCAACAATCCAGCTCTAATATACCGGAGATGTAAATATAATATCTATAACAAAATGAAGAACTAATTAAGATCATTATTTATTTTATCATATTATCACATTCATTTTTATGGTGTTTAACAAATCAAAACAACTTGTAAATAATTTAATTTAATTCTTTTTCATACCTACCTATCTATCCTCCTGTAATCAACAAATCTTACCCTTCTTCAATACGCCCACAAACGCTGCGTCTCAAAAACCACGTTCTCATCATCTCCTCCTCCATCACCACCACCACCACCACCACCGTCCTCCGCCGGGAAATAACTCCGATAGTCTCTAAATATATTACTTTCCGGGTCTTCCTGATACCCCGTTTTGGGATTTCCGACTTGGGCCAACGAGGAAGAATCCGTCGACAAGCCACGAGCATGCCGGGAAGCTGCCACCTGTATCTGAGACGGAGAGAGATCTGCGGTGACGGGGATGTCCGGTGGATGGGCGGGGAAATTAATCAACGCAGACGGACCACGTAAACAGAAAAGAGCGGCGTCATAAGCCCTGGCGGCCTCCTCCGCCGTGTCATAAGATCCCAACCATATTCTATCACGACTGTTGGGTTGACGGACTTCTGCAACCCATTTCCCCCATTTTCTCATCCTCACACCCTTGTAACGCCCCTCCTTTTTCTCCGATCTACCACCGCCACCACTACCAGTAGGCCGCACCATTTCAATACTGCAAATTTTATCAATCAATCTACGTACATGTATATATATACACGCACACGTGTGTATTATGTATACATATGAAGACGTGGTGTATAATTATAAACGCCACGTACCATTCAAGTTGTGCCAACGGAGACGAGGGCCACCTTCAGCCGCAACGTAACACATATGCATGAAGACGCGTGTATTGACATAAAGGTGGTGTACGTGGAAAAACTAGGTTACGTGGACTGTAGCTGAAGTCATACTTTGGGAAAGAAAGAAGATTAGAATCAACTTCACCAAATTTGCACACGTTTAACCATCACCCTTTCAATAAGATTATATTCGCGAAATTGCAACAAAGTTCCGATTCATGTTAAATATTATGTAAAATCCGGACATGCAAATTGCAATAGAGTTATAGAGTGAACTTTATCTCTACAGCAAAAAAAAAGAACAGTGCTTGGAATTATTGGTTGGTCAACTAACACGAAAGAACATTAGAATCAACTTCACTATATCTACACACGATTTTACCATCACCCTTTCAATCACAATATTATATTCACGAAATTAAAGATCAAGTTACCATTCCTGTTAATGTTTTGTAAAATTCAGACAAAAGTGAAATGGGTACATTGAGTCTATTCATATCAAAAAGGATAAGTGCTTCGAGTTATTGATAGGTCAATTAAATAAAAAGATTGTCTTCAAGAAAAATTAAACAATTATAATAGCCATTAGTGGATCTTATATCATCCATCCCAGCACATCAACATATTATACTACATTACTACTACAAAAAGGCTATACATCAGGTTAAATCAATAAATAACCCAATTTGAAACCGGATAATATGGTCGTGAAGTTCTATACGAAAAAATAAATAAAACCCGGTTTCAAAATCGGGTCCTATCGGTCTCGAAAACACTGTTTTTTTTATCTATTTATAGAAACCGGGACATATAAGTATACCATGGTATACAAAACCGGACCACATTGGGAAATTAGGCCATGGTTCTACCACAAACAAAGCCGGGTCATTTAAGATGAAAAGAGTTTGGTACCAATCCTTAAAATCAGGTCATATAACAATTAAATTGACACCGGTTACAATCAAATAAGCAGGTCATATATATAAAGAAAGCTGGTATATATATATATATATATATATATATATATATATATATATATATATATATATATATATATATATATATATATATATATATATATATATATATATATATATATATATATATATATATATATATATGGAAAAGTGAATATACCCTTAAGGTATATAAGTTTAGGTACCCAATACATAAAACTGCGTAGTTTTGTATAATAGCTTAATTTTCTGAAAAAAAAAACAATTTCCTAAAAACTTATCTGCGTTTCTTTATTTTCTGGTAAAATCAAAAACGATTTCTCCTTGTTTTTTGAATGATTGCATGTTATCATCGTTGTGAAAAAAAAATCAATTGCACAACAAAAACTGATTTCATACAATAGCAATTCACAAGAAAAAAAAAGACGATTTCATACAAACGCAATTCACAGAAGAAAAAAAAAAAAAACACGACGACACCAGGAAATCACAAAACAAGTTTTAATTCAAGAAATTGGGTTCGATCAAACATTGATATTACTGTTTACAAAGTTTGTTTAATCAAGAAACCGGTACGACAAGGAATTAACCTTCTCCTCGCCTTACTTATTGTTGCAACATAATATATTGATGCTTGTTAAATAAGATGAATATCACACACATCCTTTTGTTGGGAAATAAATTTCTTGATGGTTGAATATGTTGGAAAGAATAAAAGGACTTGTAGTATAAATGTTATTTAAATCTGTCTTGAATTTTGTGAATTGCAATTGTATGAAATCATTTTATGGTGTAATCGGTTTTTTTCATAGCGATGATAACATTTAATCATTAGAAAAGCAAGGAGAAAAGGAAATATTCATCGGGAAATAAGGAAACGAAGATAATTTTTTTTAAGGAAATTGTTTTTTATTTTTTTCAAAAAATTAAACCATTATACAAAACTACAACTACGTAGTTTTATGTATTGGGTACCTAAATCTATATACCCTTAAGGGTATATTCACTTTTCCCGTATATATATATATATAAAAGAGTAGATCAAATGAGAACACCTAAAAGGTTGAGAACGTGAGAACAGTTCAGAACCATTGAAATTTCAAAATCTATGGCTAATATTAAGTTGGTAATTATTTAAATTTTCAATTAATTTAAACCTTTTTTATGTTTAAAATATATCAAAAGGATATTAAAGTAATTCATCCTCAAACAAATTCCTTAAAATTAGCCAACGATGTTTCTCCTCGCCTACATTCCAACATTCCAACTGAAAAAGAAAAACAACCGTAATTGTGGTTTTTTTTGATCCTGCATTTCGTCTTAGGAAAAAATGGCGGACCACCACCATCCACGTCCACCATTGACATGACCATCGTCCTAACGCCCCACCACTACCACTAACCACCTCCGAACGGCCACCGTCACTCAAGACACCATCGTTCAAATCAATCGCTCTTATCGGTTTCCTTCTCTGCATTGATATTGATATTCAAAACCATCACCGGTGTTCCATTTCGTGTGTTTCCTTCGAGCAGATGCATCGAAATTTAAGTTACAGGTTTTCTTTATGTTCACTTCCCATTTCTCTTCATATGTATGAAATTTAATTGCTTTAATTGATGAATATAGATCTCATGATGGAGTAGCAGATGCATCAAGATTTCAAAATCAACTCAAAAATAAAAAGAATGTTTTGGTAATTTTTACAATACAGATGTAATCGGAGAAGAATAGCAAAGGTTAAGTATTTAATTTAAAACCAAGTAAAAAGGGAGATGTGAGGCGCCGATAATGAAGGTTTCTTCACTGTACTTTTTTCTCTCGTACCTATGTGAATTTAACCCAAACCTCACAATAAAGTATATATTTGTTGTTTTTATGAATATTTCTCCAATGAATATACATTGTATATATTTCAAACAAGATGTATCTTTAACTTTTGTTACTTATATTATCTGTAGTGGAGGATAGTTATTACTGTATTATTGTAGTGGGTTAAATTATTTTTATTCATCAATGAATAAGTATTGTTATTTATATATTTGAAATATTTGGTGGATTTTCAATCCATTAATCATTTTGGAATAGAATTGTATCATAAACTTATAAATTTAGCTTTGTTCATTCATGAATAAGACTTTAACCCATTAATCATCTTTGCACATTACTAATTTATAAATTTAGTTTTATTCATTCCTTATTCAGATATAAATATAAAACTTTATTCATATATGAATAGAAGTGTATGAATACATATATGATTTCTTTACTATTAGTCTAAAAAATAATTGTCAAAGAAATTTCGTGGACATTTTATTCGTCAATGAATATTGCATCGTATAAATATTTTTGTACTAAATACTTTTTAGATAAAATTGCAAAAATGGTCCCTGTGGTATGCATTTTTTTGGAGTTTCAGTCCAAACCACGACTTTTTTGGATTGGTGGTTCTTTTGAGCTAGTTTCGTTGCGTTTTTAATCCCTTAGAAAACTAAAAAGACTAAAATGCCCTTCTAATACATTTTTTATGGTTTTTTCTATCTAATTTAAAGTTTTAATAATAAAAATTATGGGGCCCACATCTTTCCTCTCTCTCTCTCTCTCTCTCTCTCTCTCTTTCTCTCTCTCTTGATCGCAGCCAAAGCAACAATGGTTCTTCCTCCTTTAATCAATGCCCAACCAACCATCCACTGCAGTTGCTTTGCTCCAGTAGATTCGTGAGAGCCGGTGATGGAGATTCGACCAACAAAGGAGCACCGGTCTCGATGAACCCTCCCCTTTCTTCACGATCTGCCTCACACAACCACCCCAATCAACCCCATGCCCCCGCTATCACCATGGATCGAATTCAATAGCCCCATCAGAAGCTTTCATCCGAGAGAAGAAACGCCAAAAAACCTGTTGTCCTCTCTCTTTCTTGGCATTTCTTAAAAACCATTGTCTCCTTCCACCACCTACTGTGTTGCCTCCGATTGCTCCACCCTCTCCCTCCGTTTGTGTTTTCTTCTAATCAAACAAAGAAGTAACTGCCAAGAAACCTCTCCATCTCTTTTGGTTGATCTTCACAACCCCTTCCCTTGGATTCGTCGAGCACCACCATAGAACCACCATTCTTTCCCCTTTTTGTGTTTGCTACCAATCGATCCAGAAGAGAAAGAAGATGTCGGCGACAACCATCTATCGGTGCCCCTACATGTGATTTACTCGATCACCACCGGAATATGGTGCCTGCCCTCTCTCCTCCGCACGATTGATTTAACACCATCGAGCGCCACCCTTTTTCCTCCTTTTATTGCATTTTCTTCCCAATCGATTGAAGAAGACGCGCAATCCCTCTTTTTGTATATGTGGTGGTGCTGGCAAAACGAGTCTCTATATTTGGTTGTTTCTCATCAAGGAAGGGCTACACAATCTCAATCATTCCCTAAAATCCCTGAATTAACATAAAAAATCTGATGCATCCCTTGGTGTTCTTGATACCATATTCATCAAGCTAGAACATTCAAAACATCTGTATATATCACAAACAAGATGTTTCTGCCAAAATTACCGTCACTACCAACAAATTATGCAGCCATCGATGAACAATGTGTATGTGTGTTCATCAGATATAGATCGGGGAAGATGAATTAGGTAGGGGTTTGACTTTCTTTTTGAGAGAGAGAGGTGGGCCCGATTTTATATTTAATAATAATAATAATTTTATAAAGTGAAAGAAAAATGAAAACTAAATTCATTAAGGGTATAATAGTCTTTTTAGTTTGGACAGGGACCAAAACTGCATGTAAACTAGCTCAAAAGGACCACCAATCCAAAAAAGTCGTAGTTTGGACTAAAACCCTAAAAAAATGCATACCACAGGGACCATTTTTGCACTTTTGTCTACTTTTTAACCATTTTTGTTAAC